GACGCACTAGTCCTAATGCCCGGGTTGGGCGGGACACTCAGGTACTCAGAACCCTCTCCACTAGTAGACATCACATACATGGCAGAGAGAATAGCATCAAAGTCCAGAGCATAGATATCAATCCCCTTCTTCAGGAGATCAAGCCAGCGGGGCAGCTCAGTGGCCTGAGGGAACTGAACACGCCAAGCGTCGCTCAGACGAGCGAAGCAACGCTGTGTGGCGTGCGGTCCCCCACACGGCTGGCCAGTGCGGTCACCAGTGCGAATGACGTACGTGCAGCTAATGCCACCCCCCCCCCCCCCCCCCGTGCTGTGAGTACCACTCACGGACCTCCTGGGGCGAGGGAGTGTGCTGCTGTCCCTGGCCACCGCCAGTGCCTCCACGACCACCACCGCCGCTACCACCTCCTCGACCACCCCAACCCCGGCCGCTGCCTCGTCCACCGCCACCCCCACTACCTCCTCCGCCCCGGCCACCTCCCCCGCCGCTGCCGCCACCCCCACCACCGCTGCCACCTCCGCCACCCGCGCCACCACCCCCGCCACCACCACCTCCCCCACCACCGCCACCCCCGCTGTCACCACCACCGCCCTTGCCCCCTTTGCCCTTGCCGCTGCGGTGTTCGCTCGAAGCAGACGCAGTCCCGACCTTCTCAGCACCAAGGAGGTCGACAGCAGCAGCAGAGGCGACAGAGGGAAGAAGGGGGGAGGGAGAACACCCCTCAAAGAACGGGGTACGGGGGTCACCGCGAGAGGCACCTACAGCGACTATGCTAGTCTCGGCTGCAAGGAGTTCCTTCTCGAGGAGGGCAATGGTGAGCTCGGTGGGGCAGCGAGCGAGGAAGTGGTCCCTGACTGAGCGCATCGAGTCAGGGAGGCGCGTGACTAGGTGGTAGAGAGTGAGCCAGAGCGGGGGTGGGTTCGTGGCAAGGAACTCATCAGGCATAGCGGCGCGGAAGCAAGCCTCACTAGTGCGGAGGTGGGTAATGAGGTCAGCGACAGTGTGAAAGGAAGCTAAGTCGGGGAACAGGTAGGGAAGAGAGAGACGGCCTAGAGCTGCAGAGGCCGGTGAGGAGTAGCGGGCAACGACAGCAGTGTACAGGGCCTGTGCAGTCTTGTGCTGCCCTAAGTGCTCGCGCTCATCTATCGGCAGAGAGTTGCGAATAGCGAAGCGAGCATGGGCATCACGAGTCTGCCACTGTGAGCGAGCAGTGCTGTCGGCAGTAGCAGCAGGAGCAGTAGCGTGGCCTAGGGCGTGATCGTACAGCGAGATGTCTTCCTTGGCAGTGAGCTGTAGGAAGAGGTGTAGGTCATCAAGCCAGGTGTCGAACTTCACTGGGCGGCCCTCAGCATCGAAGGCTAGCACAGGCGGGCTAGCCATGGTAGCAGCAGTAGTAAAAGCAGTAGGAGCAGTAGGGTAGGTAGGGCGGCGCGGCTCGGTACAAGTAGGGCGGCGCGGCTCGCTATAGGTAGGGCGGCGCGGCTCGGGTCGGGCGGCGCGGCTCGGGTCGGGCGGCTTGGGTTGGGCGGCGCGGCTCGGGTCGGGCGGTTCGGTTCGGGCGGCTCGGTTTCGTTAGGGCCGGGCTGTTCGGTGCGGGCGGCTCGGTCTGGGTGGTGCTGTTCGAGGCCGCTAAGGGCGAGCGCGGGAAGCGGGTGGGGGTAGGGACGGGGCCGACGCGGGCTGAGAGGGGTAGGGACGGGGCCGACGCGGGCTGATAGGGGAAGGGACGGGGCCAACGCGGGCCTCTAGGGGTAGGGACGGGGCCGACGCGGGCCTCTAGGAGTAGGGACAGGGGCCGTCGCGGGCCGTTAGAGGTAGGGGACGGGGCCGTCACGGGCCACTAGGGGTAGGGTCGGGGTCGTCGCGGGCCTCTAGGGGTAGGTACGGGGCCAACGCGGGCCTCTAGGGGTAGGGACGGGGCCGTCGCGGGCCTCTAGGGGTAGGCTCGGGGCCGACGCGGGCCTCTAGGGTAGGCGCGGGGCCGACGCGGGCCTCTAGGGGACGGGCTCGGGGCCGGCGCGGGCTTTTAGGGTTAGGCGCGGGGCTGATTCGGGGCCTCTAGGTGCAACAGCGCGGGGCCTACAGGGCCTCTAGAGGCGTGAACGCCGAGGCGCCCTAGGGTAGGTAGGCAGATAGGCAGGTAGGTAGTGGTGGGCCCTTAAAAAAAAACGGTCCTAGGAAGGACCCGCTCTATACCATGTTGAACAAGGAATGAAATGACTAAGGATGAAATGGGTACAAATATGGAAACCTAGAAATGTGTACCCCCTATAGGCTAACCCACTGTAGCCTAAACAACTACAACAACATATATAATGTTTGACAGGGTGCAGGGCAACTCGGCGGCTCGGCAGCTGGGCGGCTCGGCTGCTGGGCGGCTCGGCTGCTGGGCGGCTCGGCGGCTCGGCTGCTTGGCTGCTGGGCGGCTCGGCGGCTTGGCCGCAGGGCGGCTCGGCGGCTCGGCTGCAGGGTGGCTTGGCGGTCGGCTGCTCGGCAGGGTGTGGCGGCTCGAGCGGCGGTCGGGTGGCGGGCGGCGCTGCAACAGGCGACGGCGCCTGCGCCGTAGTGGTGACGGCGGGGGGGCCGCGTGAGGACGGCGCCGAGGCCGGTAGAGGCGGCGTCGGGGCCGCACAGGTAGGCGACGGGACGGGACGGGGAGCGCCGGGGCCGTAGGTAGGCGCCGGGGCCACAGGTAGGTGGCGGGGCCGCACAGGTAGGCGCCGGGGCTGCACAGGTAGGCGTCGGGGCCGCAGGTAGGCGCAGGGGCCGCAGGTAGGTGGCGGGGCCGCAGGTAGGTGGCGGGGCCGCAGGTAGGTGGCGGGGCCAGCAGGTAGGCGCCGTGGCCGCACAGGTAGGCGTCGGGGCCGAAGGTAGGCGCCCGGCCAGCAGGTAGGCGCTGGGGTCGCAGGTAGGAGCCGAGGCCGGTAAGGGCGGCGTCAGGGCCACAGGGCGGCGCGAGGGCCGCGGGGTAGGCTACGAGGCCGCAGGGCGGCGGATCGGGGCCGGGAAAGGGCGGCGCGATGGCCGCGAGGTAGGCGACGAGGCTGTAGGGCGGCGGGTCGGGGCCAGGAAGGGCGGCGCGAGGGCCGCAAGGCAGGCGACGGGGCCGCTAGGGCGGCGCAACTGGGTCGAGATAGGGGAGCGCGACTCGGGCTAGGGCTGAGCGCGCTCCGGGCAGAAAAAAAAAATTTATCGAGTTGGTGGGCCCTAGGAACAGTTCCCACGAGGGAACCTGCTTGATACCATGAGAAAACTTGAAACGAGAATGGATGCACTATGGAATAGTTGGGTACAAGTACTAACCCTAATTGGGTTGTACCCCATGTGGGCTACCCCACTACAGCCTACATAAAAGCATAAGCTATAATGTTCTGACACGATGCGGTGAAACATCTGCAAAGCGCTAATGGGTGAAACGTGGGTTTTTGTCAAGGAACATCGGCGGGAGCAGCTTCGACGACGGAGTCAGCGGCGTTGATGTCACTAGGTTCCGTAAAATTCGGTCTTGGAATAACCCAGGGGCAGTCCCCGGTTCTCGATTGAACCCACATGCTAAGGTCGAGTAACCCGCGGAAACTGATGGTGACCGAGTGGGCAGCTATAGCACGTCCGAGATTCTCGGAGGAGAACTGCACCTGCAACTGCGGATTTACGGGGTTTGATTCGTACGACATTTTCGGGGGTTTTACGTGGGGATTAACAAGTTTACGGCGAGGAGCGCTAGCGTTTGGTTAAACGCGCACAGCATTTACGTGGAGCAACACCACGGGAACTACACGGAGTTTTCAAGGGGTACGAATGACTTACGATGAACTGGAGGAGGCAGCATCAATAGTGGAGGAGGGGAGAGACAGCTACAAATTTTTCATCTCTGCCAAGGACCCCTCGGCGAGTCTGGACAAATTGGACTTCACACCCGGTTTTGCTGGTTTTCCATTTCGGCGCAGCTGCGGGAAACATTTTGGTGTGTTTTCTTGGAGGGGGGGGAGCTTTGTCAGATATATATGACTTGGTCTTTGTAGGCTCTAGTGGGGTAGACACTAAGGGGTACAAGTTTCTAGGGTTTGATATGTGTATCCAACATTTTCCTATTCAATAATTTCCTCATTTTTTACATGGTATAGAGCGGGTTCCCTAGTGGGACCGTTTCTTCCCAGGGCCCACCTTCGATTTTTTTTTTTTAGCTTGCCCGAAGCGCACTTCGCGTCCTGCCCTAAAATTTCGTGGCCCTTTAGTGGCCTGCCTCGTCACGGCCCTTTAGTGGCCCCTTCATGGCCCCTTTAGCGGCCCCTTCACGGCCCCTTCGTGGCCCCTTCGCGGCCCCTTAGCGACCCCTTTGCGGCCCCTTGCGGCCCCTCTTAAGGCCCTTCGCGGCCCCTTCGCGGCCCTTCGCGGCCCCTTTGCGGCCCTTCGCGGCCCCTTCGCCGCCCTTCGCGGCCCCTTCGCCGCCCTTCACGGCCCCTTCGCGACCCCTTCGCGGCCCCTCTCACGGCCCTTCGCGGCCCCTTCACAGCCCTTCGCGGCCCCTCTCGCGGCTCTTCGCGGCCCGTCGTAGCCGCCCTGCCGCCCCGTCGTCGCCGCCCCAGCAGCAGCTGCCGCCACCCCTGCTGCCACCGTAGTTGCCCTGCCGCCCCGTCTTCCGGGTTCCTGCAGCAGCGGCCGTCCCTACAGCAGCTACCATCCCTGCAGTAGCGGCCATCACTGTAGCAGCTGCCGTCGCCGTCCCTGCCACAACAGCAGCTGCCACCGTAGCGGCCCTTCTGACGCTGCCGAGCCACCGCTGCCGCTGAGGTCCCTGCTGCACTGGCCCTGACCTGCAGCCGAGCCGCGGCCCCACCCTGCTGCCCAGTTACGGCCCCGACCCTCCTGGCGCACCTCGGACCTGCCACTCTGGTCACGGCCACCCTACCTACTCGCCACTGGTAAGCGCCCTGCCGAGCCACGCCCCTTTAGCCGAGTCATGCTGTCGCTGCTGCTGCTAGCTTGCTACTGCTGCTGTCATGACTACTCCCAATGTGCTTACCTTTGATGCTGAGGGTCGAGCTGTCGACTTTGAGGTCTGGGTCGATGATCTGCAGCTTTTCCTGCAGTCCGATCGCAAAGACGGTCTCTCACTGTTCGATCTCACGTCTGGCGTCTCTACTGCCCCTGCTGCCAATGCTGACAGTACTGTTCGCTCACAGTGGACCACACGAGATGCTGCTGCCCGTCTTGCTATGCGTAGTCACCTGCCGTCCTCTGAGCACGCGCACTTTAGTCAGTACAAGAGTGCTGAGACCTTGTACGACGTTGTAGTAGCACGCTACTCCTCCCCTGCCACTGCTGCCCTTAGTTGCCTCATGCTGCCGTACCTGTTCCCTGACCTCGCCGCCTTTGCCACAGTTGCTGACCTCATTACGCATCTCCGCACTAGTGACACCCGCTACCGCACTGCGCTTCCTGCTGAGTTCTGCGCCAAGAACCCCCCCCCCCCCCCCCCCTCCCCCCCCCATGTACATCACCCTCTACTACCTAGTCACCCGGCTCCCTGACTCCCTTCGCTCGGTCAGGGACCACTTCCTCTCTATTTGCCCCACCAAACTCATCGTTGACCTCATCGAGGAGCGCCTCCTGGCCGCTGAGAAGAGTATAGTCGCTGTAGGAGCCTCTCGTGGTGACTCTCGTGCCCCCTTCTTTGAGGGGTGCTCTCCCTCCCGCCTTTTGCCCTCTGTTGCCTCTGCTGCTGCTGTCAACCTCGTTGGCACCGAGTCGGTCAGTGCTGCGTCTGCCACTAGCGGGAGACGCCGCAATGGCAAGGGCAAGGGGGGCAAGGGCGCTGGTGGAGCTGGCGGGGGCGGTGGAGGTGGCAGTGGAGGCGGCGGAGGGGGTGGGGGTGGCAGTGGGAGTGGTGGCGGGGGTGGGGGCTTCGGTGGCGGGGGTGGGGGCTTCGGTGGCGGCGGTGGAGGTGGAGGCGGCGGCTGCGGTGGGAGTGGAGGAGGCGGCAGTGGCGGCAGCGGCGGCAGCGGCGGTGGAGCTGGTCGGGGTGGCTCTGTGCAGCGGGGCGGTTTCGGTGGTGGTCAGCGCCAGCAGCAGCAGCGTGCTCGTGAGACCCCGCCCCCCCAGCAGCGCGCTCGTGAGACCCCGCCCCCCCAGCAGCTTCATGAGTGGTACGCTGCGCGTCAGCGGGGTGGGGGTGCTGGTCCATGTGCCTACGTCCTGCGTACCGGCGACCGCACTGGTGAGCTGTGCGGCGGCCTGCACACCACCCAGCGCTGCTTCGGCTGCTTGACGGACGCCTAGCGTCTCCAGTTCCCTGACGCCACAGAGATCCCTCGCTGGGGCGAGCTGCTTAGGTCGAGGGTTGCTATCTTTGATCTTGATTATGATGCTATTCTTGCTGCCATGCCATGTATGTTGTGTCTACTGGTGATGAGGGTGACTGTTACCTGTGTGTTCCGCCTGACCCGGGCATTGAAGCTGCTGCTCTAGGTGCTGGTGAGGCTGCTGCTCTACGTGCTAGTGCGTTTGCTGCTCCAGGTGCTGGTGAGTCTGCTGCCCCAGGTGCTGGTGAGTCTGCTCTCTCAATAACCACGTCGGCTTAGGATTTGCACACCTTCACCCTTGACTCGGGTGCTTCCTGCTCCTTCTTTCGAGACCGCACCACACTCACGCCGCTTAGTCGGCCGGTTGCAGTCTCCGTGGAAGACCCCTCTGGAGGTCCTAACCGTGCCCACTTCTCCACTGTCTTACCGTGTCCGGCGGCCCCTTCTGGCACCCTGTCAGGTCTTTACCTCCCCTCGTTCTCTACGAACTTGGTGAGTGGTGCTGACCTACATGTCAGATTTATATGACATAGCTACTGTAGGCTATAGTGGGGTAGCACATATGGGGTACAACTTTTTCTAGGGTTTGTACTTGTACCCAACTTTCCCTTAGTCACATTCATTCTCGTTTCTATTTTCTCTTGGTATCGAGCAGGTTCCCTCGTGGGAACTGTGCCTAGGGCCCACCACATCGATTTTTTTTTTTCCTTCCCGGAGCGCGCTCCCTGAGTCGCGCTCCCCTCTCTGACTTCGTCGAGCCACCCTAGCGGCCACAACGCGCCGCCTTAGCGGCCCCTGATTCGTCGCGCTGCGGCCCCGTCGCCCTACCTGCGCCCCGGCCCCGTCGCCCTACCTGCGACCCCGGCCCCGTCGTCCCACTGCGACCCAGGCCCCGTCGCCCTACTTGCGCCCCGGCCCCGGCCCCGTCGCTCTACCTTCGACCCGGCCCCGTCACCCTCCCTGCGGCCCCGCCGCCCTACTGCGGCCTCGCCGCCCAACCTCCAGCCCCGCCGCCGTCGCCCTACCTGCGGCCCCGACCCAGGCCCCGCCGCCGCCGCCCTACCTGCGGCCCCGACCTAGGCTCCGTCGCCCTACCTGCGCCCCGGCCCCGGCCCCGTCGCCCTAACTTCGACCCGGCCCCGTCGCCCTACCTGCGGCCCCGCCGCCCTACTAGCGGCCTCGCCGCCCTTCCTGCGGCCCCGCCGCCCTACCTGCGGCCCCGCCGCCCTACCACCGGCCCCGCCGCCCTACCTGTGGCCCCGTCGTCCTACCAGCAGCCCCGCCACCCTACCAGCGTCCCCGCAGCCCTACCAGTGGCCCTGCCGCCCTACGCAACCGAGCCGCCCGAGCCGCCCGAGCCGCCCGAGCCGCCCAAGCCGCCCGAGCCGCCCGAGCCGCCTGAGCAGCTGAGGAGCCGCTGGTGCCGCCGGGCCACAGTTGCCGCCGAGCTGCCCGAGTCACCCGAGCCGCCGTGTTACTGAGCTGCTGTGCTGCGAAGCTGCCCGAACCGCTCTGTCTGGTGAGAGCAGCACCTCTGTTACTACACTGCCCTCCCCCTACTGTTTGCACTGCTAATCTACTGTGGTCATGGCTACCCATAGTGTCCTCGCTTTTGACGCTGAGGGTCGGGCCATTGACTTTGACGTTTGGGTAGATGACATGCAGCTGTTCATACAGTGCGATAGGGCAGACGGTCTCTCTCTCTCTTTGACCTTACCTCTGGCGCCTCTCCTGCCCCTGGTGCTGATGCTGACGCCACTGTTCGCTTCCCGTAGGCCACGCGCGACGTTGCTGCACGTCTTGCTGTGCGTCGCCACCTCCCTACCTCCGAGCGTTCGCACTTTAGTCAGTACAAGAGTGCTCAGACCTTGTACGACGCTGTAGTTGCACGCTACTCCTCCCCTGCCACTACTGCATTGAGCCGCCTCATGCTACCGTACCTCTTCCCTGACCTTGCTGCCTTTCCCACAGTCGCTGACTTCATTACGCACCTCCGCACTAGTGACACTCGCTACCGCGCTGCGCTTCCTGCTGACTTCTGCGCCAAGAACCCCCCCCCCCCCATGTACATTACTCTCTACTACATAGTCACTCGCCTCCCTGACTCCATTCGCGTAGTTAGGGACCACTTTCAGTCTGTCCCACCACACTCACTGTTGACCTCCTCGAGAAGGCCCTCCTAGCGACGGAGAAGAGCATAGTCATTGTAGGGGCCTCTCGTGGTGACCCGCACACCCCCATCTTTGAGGGGTGTTCCCCCTCCCCCCTTCTGCCCTCTGTTGCCTCTGTTGCTGCGGCGGACCTCCTTGGTCTTGAGTCGGTCGGTGCGGCGTCTACCCCTAGCAGGAGACGCAGCTCTGGCAAGGGCAAGGGGCCAGGGGCGCTGGAGGAGCGAGCGGGGGCGGTGGAGGTGGAGGTGGGAGTGGAGGTGGGAGTGGAGGTGTCGGTGGCGGCAGTGGAGGCGGAGGCGGCGGCGGCGGTGGCGGTGGGAGCGGAGGTGGCGGAGGTGGCGGCGGTGGAGAAGGCGGCGGAGGCGGCGGTACTAGCGGAGGCGGCGGAGGCGGCGGAGGCGGCGGGGGTGGCGGTGGAGCTGGTCGCGGGTCTACGAAGAGAAGTGGCTCCGGTGGTGGTTCACGCCAGCAGCAGCAGCGCGGTCGTGAGACCCTGTCCCCTCAGCAACTCCGTGAGTGGTATACTGCACGCCAGCGGGGTGGGGGTTTTGGTCCGTGCACCTACGTCCTGCACACCGGCGACCGTGCGGGTGAGCAGTGTGGGGGTGCGCACCCTACCCAGCGCGGCTTTGGCTGCCTGACGGACGCGTGGCGTCACCAGTTCCCGGAGGCCTCAGAGATCCCTCGCTGGGGCGAGCTGTCTAGGGTGGGTGTTGCCATCTATGATCTTGACTTTGATGCTATTCTTTCTGCCATGTATGCTGTGTCTATTAGTGATAAGGGTGACTGTTACCGGTGTTTCCCGCCCAATCCGGGCATTGAGACTTCTGCTCTAGGTACTGGTGAGGCGGCTGCCCTAGGTGCTTGCGACGCTGCTGCTCTACGTGCTAGTGCGTATGCGTCCTCAGGTACTGGTGAGTCTGCGCTCTCAGGTACTACGTCGGCTTCGGCCTCCCTCACCTTCACCCTTGACTCTGGGGCGTCTCGCTCCTTCTTTCAGGACCGCACCACACTCACGCCGCTTAGTCGGCCGGTTGCGGTGTCTCTGGCTGACCCCTCTGGGGGTCCTGTCCTCTCTCATTTCTCCACAGTCCTCCCGTGTCCGGCGGCTCCCTCTGGCACCCTGTCTGGTCTCTACCTTCCCTCGTTCTCTACGAACCTGGTGAGTGGTGCTGACCTACAGGATGGGGGATTCCACCAGTTCACTCCTGCGCGTCAGCGGGTGACGCACTGCACAGAGGCTAGCACAGGCCGACTCCTGGCTACGTTCACCCGTCAGCCGGGGTCAAGCCTGTACACACTGACCACTGCGTCTCCTCCAGTTGCTAAGTCTGGTAGGGTAGCTGCGTCGGGTCAGGTGTTTGCTGCAGCGTCCAGGTCTGGTCCTGAGTCTGCCCCCTGTTCGTGTCGTCTCCTATCTCACGAGACTCTCCACTGGCACCACCGCCTTGGTCACCCCTCTTTGCTTCGGCTCAGAGGCATGGCCTCCCATCTTCTTGTCTCCGGTCTCCCCCGGTCCCTCCCTCCCTTCCTCAGGGCCCTGACCCTACCTGTGTCCCCTGTGTCGAGGGGCGCCAGCGTGCTGCCCCTCACTCCTCCCAGTTTCCTCCGACAGAGGCCTCGTTGCAGACGCTTCACATGGACGTGTGGGGCCCAGCCCGCGTCCGTGGACAGGGTCACGAGCGCTACTTCCTGCTCGTTGTTGACGACTACTCGCGTTACACCGCAGTCTTCCCCTTGCGCAGCAAGGGTGATGTCACTGAGGTGCTGATCGACTTGATCCGCGCAGCTCGTCTCCAGCTCAGGCAGAGCTTTGGCTCGGACTTTCCTGTTCTGCGTCTCCACTCGGACCGAGGCGGAGAGTTTTCCTCTGGCCTTCTGAGAGCCTACTGTTGCGCACGAGGCATCCGTCAGACCTTCACGCTTGTGGACTCCCCGCAGCAAAATGGGATTGCTGAGCGCCGCATTGGCATGGTCATGGACGTCACTCGTACGTCTATGATGCATGCGGCTGCTCCCCATTTTCTGTGGCCGTTTGCGGTGAGGTACGCGACGCATCAGATCAACCTACACCCCAGAGTCTCTAGGACGGAGACCTCCCCAGCCTCGCTGTGGACGGGGAAGGTTGGCGATGCGTCGGCGTTCTGGGTCTGGGGATCTCGGGCGTTTGTCCACGACTTGTCTGCGGACAAGCTGTCCCCTCGTGCTGCTCCTTGCGTCTTCCTGGGGTTCCCCCCTGACGCGCCTGGGTGGCAGTCTACCACCCCACCTCTCGCCGTATTCTGTCCTCCCAGGACGTCACGTTTGACGAGTCGGTCCCCTACTACCGCCTCTTCCCCTACCGCACCCCGTCCCTCCCCCCGCCGCCGCTCTTCCTTGTACCAGGTCCCCCTCCGGTTGACCCCCTCCCCCCTCTGGGTCCGTCCCCTTTAGGTGTGTCCTAAGTAGACCCAGTCGAGCCTGTCGAGGTCACTGGTGACTCTGGTGCTGCTGAGGGTGCTGAGCCTGGGGGTGCTGACTCTGGGGGTGCTGAGCCTGGGGGTGCTGGGCCTGGGGGTGCTGAGCCTGGGGGTGCTGAGCCTGGGGATGCTACGCCTGGGGGTGCTGGGCCTGGGGGTGCTAAGCCTGGGGGTGCTGACTCTAGGGGTGCTGAGCCTCGGGGTGCTGGGCCTGGGGGTGCTGAGCGTGGGGGTGCTGAGCCTGGGGGTGCTACGCCTGGGGGCGCTGTGCGTGGGGGTGCTGAGCTTGGAGGTGCTCCGCCTGGAGGTTCTCCGGGTGCTTCGTCTCGCCGGGAGCCACTCTCTCCACAGGAGCTGCGCGAGTGGTTTGCCCGGCGCTGGAGCTGTGCTGCTGGTGCTGGAGGTTCTTTGGCTACTGAGGGTGATGCTGTCACGGGTCCCGGAGGTGCTCGTACTGGGAATACAAGAGCTGCTGGGCCTGCAGGTTCGACTCGAGTTGGTGCTGCTGAGGGTATTTGCGCTGAGACTACCGCTGGCGGTCCTGCTGGGGGTCCTCTTGGTGCTGCTGGAGGTTCTGGAGCTGCTGGAGGTGCTGCTGGAGCGAGTGCTCCTACAGGGGGTACTTGTGCTGTCCCTGCTGTGTCTGGCG